ATAAAATGTTATGCCTGGAGCACAGCCCTGTACGGATCAGAGACATGCACTCTAACAATCTGAGAGTTTAAAATTGCAGTGCTGAGCTGGAGAGGAATAGGAAAGATAATGTGGACAGATAAGATAACCAATGAAGAAGTACTGAAAAGAGTGGGCAAACAAGAACTTTAACACAATTATTAAAACTAAACTTAGTTAACAATTATTAAAACTAATATTAAGAAAGGCACTGGATCGGATCCTTTGTACAAAAAATCCTCCTACATGACGTCATCGAAGGTGAAGGTAAAATAAAAAGACTAAAAACGATTGTGAAGAAGCGAAAAGTGAAACTGCAGAAAACTGATAGCTGAAGCGCAGGGCCAGGGAGCATGGGAACACAAGTTTGGAAAAGAAAATGCATAAAAGTGTATAAAAAGTGAATATTCTATCGATTTTATTATTATTATTATTATTATTATAATGGTTACGTACGACAGCTATAGTCCCGCGTAAGTCCGCCCCGCGGCCGAACCTGCACGCCAATAATGGCCTCCATAGGCACCTCCGTACGAGGGATGCTGACTGCATGAGGAGGCAAATATATCGCCTGCAGGTTCCCGAATTGACAATCCGATCCAGTGACACACGACAACCGCCATGCACCTGAAAATTAGAAATACGTTTTAGAAAATTATTTATGAATGTAATTTTTAACATGTAGTTCTTTCTTTTCTTTTATTTAAATTTTGGGTTCATCATTAGTGACAAGTTTTTTTTTCAATTTCAATAAATAATTATTAAAAGCAAAAATAATAATAAATTATATAATGATTATAATAGAATATAGAATATTTGTCCAAAACATAAATAATATCGAAGTCAATTTACGGTATATTAATTTCTATTTTCACTGGTTTTGAACTAGATTATTTGTAGTAATTGATATCAAGTAACTTTTTGTTTGGGTTAAAAAATTTGAAGATAATGTTAATTGTTTTTTTATGATAATGCTGGACTATTTTTTAAATAATATTTAATAGTTTATTATTTATTATTTGAACCATTGGCATTAATTGAAAGATGTAACACCAACATGGAATCGATTTTGTACGACTGATATCCTTTATCAACTGGTTAATATATATTATATATAAAATAAAAATAAAATAACTGATTAAACACATATAATCACATTATCACAATATTATCTTTGACAAACTAGTAATTTAAACGCCGAACCAAGAAAAATATCTTGCACAGTAAAAATCCAAGACACAGTAATGCAATAAAATTTAAATTTAAAATAAATATGTAATACAATAAAATTTAAGCACTTAAATTAATTTGCAACTTTCAAAAATCCGATTGCAACTCTATTTTTATTTATAATCGTTATCTACGACAGTTTTTTACACTTATGTAATTGATAATTGACCGATAAGTTTATTTAAATCACTGACTCAAAGTTATTTTATTTTTCAATTTTTACACTTTCTAGGTAAATTATTTTATATTCCCCAAAAAAGAAAATAATATTATCACAATATATAATTTTCAAATAATCATTTTCAACTTTAATGAATCAAGGACAAGCTAATTTAAAATTTATTTTATTTATCTGATGAAGTTGAACATCCCCGAAACGTTGAATAAAATAATTGAAAGAAAATTTTTCCAAAGGAAAAAAGGCTATTAGTACAGAAATTAAAAAATCATTAAATATGTATTTATTATATTATATTAAAAATGTATTATATACAATGTAATATATTTTTACTTCCCGTAGGGTAATCGCAAAAAAAAAATCTACAATAAAAAATGTTATATATATTCACATTTCAAAGTCCTTTGAACATTTTGGCAAATTGATGTATGTGTGTGTGTATGTATGTATGCATGTATGTATATGAATGCGCGGATACAATTTTTCATTGACCATTTCGATTTTTATTGAAAGGAATATGTGCTGATTAGTTTTTGGCAAAGGCAGGTCCAACTGTTTCGAAGATACGCGACAAAAAGTGCCAGAAGTGGTTTTTCAGTTTTTGAGGTAACGGAGCGTCCGATTTGAATGATTCAAAAAACATTTCACTTGTATTGACGGAATAAAAAACTGATTAAATTTTTGATCCAGCGATTTTGGAGTTCCAATAATAAAAGTAACTAGTGGAGTGTATGGCATTGTGCCTTAAGGCAAATTGCTGGAACTTTCCATACCGTAACGAAATGTTCGAGGAATACTGAATGTTTTCAAATAAATTATTATTAATATTGTAACATTGTCTAATATTTATAAGAATTATATAAACTAAATTGCAAAGTTAAAATTATTTGTTTAAAGTATATTAGAACCATAGTCAGAAAAAAATAAATCTGAATTATTTTCGATATACAAAAAAATATTAGAAAAAAAAAAGTTGAAACAATTTTTTTTTCCAAAATCAATTATTTTGTTAAGACAAGCAGAAAGTTCTTTAAATCATTTAAGTCGGACGCTTAGTTCTTTCAAAAACTAACATTTTTTACACATTTAGCTCAGTATCTTCGAAATGGCTGGGCCTGCCTTTGCCAATAAACACTTCTCCCAATCATTCAAATCGGATGCTTCGTTCTCTCTCAAAACTCGATTTCCATTTTCTGCACTATTTGCTCTTTATCTCCGTAACTGCCGCCGGACCTGCCTTTGCCAAAAACTAATCAGCACATCCTCCTATCAATAGGAATCGAATGTTTTTTGAGCCATTCAAATCGGTTGATCCGTGCGCCCGAAAACGTGACTGAAAATTTGTATCCATACATACATACACACACACACATCCATTTTTTCTGAGGTATGCCAAAATGTTCTGAAACCTTCAAAACGTCGAGAAATATAAAAATTTTTAATTTCAATTTTCGCCCATTACAATAACTTACCCTACGAGAAGTTAAAAAAGCCCTTTGGCGGTCAAAAATGATCATTATATATGCACATCAAAATATCAGATATTTTATTAGGCTCTTTGATATTTCGCTACGCAGCGCGATTGCTTAAAAAAAATTAAAGTTTCCAGAATATTTCGAAAAATAAAAAATACAATATTTTCAAAAAAGTTCTTTTTTTTCAATAATTTAAAAATTCTCAAAACTCTATTCAGTTTTCAAAAAAAAAAATTACCGTACGAAAAGTTTCAGCAATTTGCTTCAAGGCACTATGCCATGCACCACTAGTTATACTACATTTACCATCCATGTGTTTGTACAAAAAAAAAAAATCTAATCCGTCGTATAATTGTAATTCGTAATTTACACAGGACGCGTGCTCGACGTCCTAGTTATTTTTTCCATAACGCGTAGAAAAATCTGATCGTGAGAGTAGAAATGCAGAAATGCAGAATTGGAGAAATGCATGAGCATGAAGCACTTAAGCTATAGCATTGAAATTGAAACAAACATTATTCACACTGGGATTCCACTCTATTTCTAGTGTAATTCCACAATGTGCTTCGCATTTGGGCGGACGGTTCGGCACATCTAAGCGTTGATTT